TAATATACACAATTAGTCACATAATTTCATTTAAGCACTTAGAAAATTTAACAAATAATAAAAATAACAATAATAATAATAATAACAATAATCCAAATTATTCATAAACCAACGGGGCGTTACAATGTCGTTAGGCGCTCGACCAGCGCCTAGAGCACCTAAGCAAAATTTAATTATAAATTAAGATTAAATATCTTTTTTTTTTTCAATACCTACAAAATACAGCTATCTGAACTTGTACTAAATCCAAACACTCAAGTCTAAATATTAATATTAATATATTATTAAAAAATATGATAACAAAATACTGTAATTAGTATTTAAAAAATGAAAATTTTTCGTTGAGCCCTACAATGAGCGTCTAGGCCCGGCTAGCCTTTTTTTCGCAAATCTGGTCTCGTCAATTTTTTCTAAAAGAGTTGTTGGAGGGTCAATGTAATTGAGCTCGACTGCAAAGGAGATGGGCGAAGCTTCCCAAAGACATTTTTGCTAGTGAGATTTCGAGTTTATATTGAAATAATATCTAAAGTTAAATAATTAAAATTTGTTTGATGTAAAGTATAAGAGATATGATATGAAATGATGGTTAATTAAAATTATGTTATTGGATGAATAGTAAATTAAACTCGATGTGATATGTAGAAATAATTAATTGATATTATTTAATTATATTGATAATACTGAGTATAGTAGGGTGAAGTTAACGTTGAGTTAGATGTTGAGTATGAATTGAGTATTTGTGTACAAATAAAAGTTAGAATCAAGGCGTGAAAAATTATTATCGATCAACATTTTATTATTGTTTACTGTGTCAACTCTAATAATTATATTTTTTTTATATGTATTTACATTTTTTAGTTATCTTTGTATTTTATTTTATTTTTTTCACTTTTTTCATCCAAGGCCAAGACACATTTTTTTTTTAAGAAAAAAAATCTTATATCCAAATATCTAAAAATGTAGCGGAAAATTATTTGCAAAGGCACACAATGTATTTAATATTTATTGTTAGAAATAAAAATAAGGGAGAAATATATTTATCTATTTCATATTTTGTTTTCCATTATTATATAACAGCGGAATCCACGCAACGAAAAGCCCGTTGATTTATGGACCGCCCTTTGTAAATTCCATTCTATTTTGCTTTTACCAAAATTGCAAAAAAGGTCCCCACAACCAAACACACAAATAATAATAATAATAATAATAAAAATAATAATAATAATAATAATAATAATAATAATAATAATAATAATAATAATAATAATAATAATAATAAAATGAAAATTTTCATGA